TACGCGTACATGTATCTGCGCAAAACTGGAGTCACATTTAGTATTTTCTTGAAAGGATGTTATACATGTTATAGTATATGATCAAATGCGCATCACAACATAATTACACTAAAATTATTCTAAAAAATATAAACAAGATTATATAGATTTTATGTTACATGAAGTATTTACATTAAAGGCTTCTTGAAAATAATAAGTCTTAACTAATTTCTTGAAAATACTAAAGTTATGCAGATTTCTTATACACATTTCGAATGCTCTGTCGCCGAGTGTTTTCTTTCTTTTTGTACTATAGTCTTCAAGCAATGTGCCTTCGTTAGATCTTAGACACGATGTATTTCTTACTTTTAAAAGATTGACAAGATAGAGAGGTGCATACTGATGGATACATTTAAAAGCAAGCATGGCAATTTTGAACTTGATCCTTAATCGAACAGGACGCCAGTGTAATTTGATGAGAGTCGGAGTGATGTGATCATGTTTAGGGATAGAACAGATAAGACGTGCTGCTGTATTTTGTAGCTGTTGTAGTTTAGACGGATGTACATCTGTGACACCAATGAACAATTGAAATATATATTTCATCACTTATTATATAATAGCAAATTAGATATTAAGATCAAGCATAATACACATCTACTAGGGATGTGAACAGGGGAAAGCGAATTTAACATACTAATTTTACAATGTCATTATGATCATAACGAATAATCATGCAGTCACGAAATACAAATTCCATTCAAACAATACTACACTTGCACAAAATACAATACTTTTAAAATTAATATCACTAGCATATATTATATACAGTAGAACAAAGTTTTCAGGTCTAGTTTTCATATTAAATGAAATAGCTGCTATAAATTCCACTTGCAGTAGTATTTCGGATTATTACCATAACAGTAACAAAGGTTTCCTTAATAGGTCAACTGAGTTGTGACATCATAATGTTGATACATAAACTGGGATGTCACACTGATAACTTGACAATCTTCTTTATCATCGCCATATAAGCGAGATATGCAAAACATTTTAGATGCCATAGAGTCAGGATAGCAGGTGTTGTCACAATCCATACCATTGACATATATATAGCATCCAAATTTAAACAATAAACAATATATATAGAAGTTAACATTTACATTGAAATCATATATATGTCAATGATCCATACTCATAGAATTTTGACAGTTTTTCAAAACTTTATTGTATATAAAATCACATGAAGCAAATTTTCTGTCAATTGTTTATATTTATAATGCATGGATTACATTTGGATAATTGGGTTTGCTAACATCAACTGTTGAGGCTTGAGTAATATACATAAACTATTCAAGGAACATAAATTACTGCAGCAAAAAGGTCAATCATACACATTCAAACTTTTTGGTCGTATAATAGTAGCAATACCATACATATTAAAAAACGTTTGCTGGAAATATAGCTCTTTAAATATTTTATACATCGTAGAAATTGCATTCATGTTTAAACACTAGTAGCCTACATTGAATATTGTTGACACATTAGTACATTGAAAATGGTTGATTATGATTCTTTAATTCTTACCTTCAAACAAAAACACTTCAAACACAGTTCAAGTCGACAAGAGTAAAAATATATAAAGTACTCCCAGGGCATTTTTTAACTATATAAGTGGGGGTGCCAAAGCCCCCTCAGCCCCCATGGTGCCCCCCCACTCAACCATTTTGCCCCCCCCCAGTCAAAGTCCCTTTTCTCTAAAATATAAGCAAAACATGAAATTTAGAAGGGAGGTTTGATATTCTAGTAACTGAAATTTGCTTTGTGAATCTTATGTCCTGTCTTTTAACTTTATTTAATGCTAAACATTGTGTTGTAAATACCTTATTAGATTTTAAACATTTCCAGTGGATTGCATTTCCCAGACCCTATAGATTTGAGTTGTGGGAAGGCTCGGCTAAACAAGTTAGTGACCGCAGGGGGGAAACGGGCCCCCAACCCAGTGTTTTATAAGGGGGGATAATTTAGGCCCACCACCAAAAAAAAACCAATTGATTTCGAAACTAGAAGTATTTGAAATCGTATGTGTATATATAATCAAATATCTGTAATCGACATTTTGATACTGACAACATTTCTCGTAATAATCCATCCTGACTCACAGATAGCATGGACTCACAAATCATAATGAAAGAATTAATGAAAGGGCCTAACAAAAGAGGTAGAGAAGACTTTGAAAATGCCATTTCCGACGATTTAGAGACACAAAATTTCCAAAATTTCCCCGCTCTGTGCCAACCATGGTGGCACTTCGTGAGAGTCAGGCCTCCTAAGTTTAACAAGCTGGCTCCCTGAGTGACCAAGTTGCGGTATCTACATAAACATACTGTATCATGCAAGTATTTCACTGAAGGTTCAGTCTACCTACAGCATAATGTAATGCTGTATATCCAAAAATCTGTTTCAGAAAATGCAGGAATTGCAGTCATAGGGGTAGAAAAATACAAAAATTTTCTGGGGGACAATACCCCCAGACCCCCCTACAATTAAATTCGATACCACACTAAATTTTTAGTTACCAACAACCATCTATCATTTCTCCACACTTGGTATAGTATGGTCGCTTTTTGTAGATGCCCCCCCCACTGACGAATTCTTAAAAAATGCCCTGAGTACTCCTCGAAATTAGCTCGAATCGAAACCTCGAAACGTACCGCCATGTTAATTTAGCCTGCGAACAGGCTGGCGGCTGCTGCGATTCTACGGTTTTCTCACTGATCCATATGTTCTACACTGAATAGTCATTTCCGCATAGTGCGCTGATTGGCTAGGGACGGTCACAAGCTAAAATACTTGACACTGATTGGCTACAAGCTAACAGCTAACAGCTAACAGCTAACAGCTAACAGCTAACAGCTAACAGCTAACAGCTAACAGCTAACAGATAAAGCAAACTCGATAGCATAGTATATCTGCTGCGCAGATACAAAAATGCTACCATATTAGGATAATTAACATGATTATGTTCCATGACCGGCAAAGGTGAATCAGATGTCATAGATTCTTGTCAAGAATGCTTGTTCATTTCATGAATTTAAGGTCGATGTTTGTGCATTGCCATTGGTCGTCATGTGGTACCTGGATACATGGATTCGCACAGTATCTTAGGGATTGTTTTAACGGTGCACATCAGATTTGAAATATAGTTTAATGTCTTTATCCTTTTCATATAACATGTTTCTGTACTTTGGAAGTTATGATTTTCGGAAAATGTGATTGATGGTTAAATATAACATTCAAGTATAAAGATTACTTACACAACGAAGTTGCCATGAACTTCATTAATGCAAAAAAGGACGTACTGCACGCAAGAAATTATCTCTGCACTTTCAGAGTTATACAAACTCAATATAATACTAATATTCAAATACTACATAATTACCTTGCTAAATTGTTTACTCAAGGATTTAGTGTGAGTTCCAAGCATTTTCGACATAATTATATTGCTATGCATGATAGTACTACAAATATGTTACTATGAGTTGCTTATGACAATTTCATGCATTCCGAGCAGGTCGCACATGCTGACTCATGCCATGACATGGCCGTATTTCATTGGCCATCGTGGAAGTACCGTCCGGATCACATCAGTGCATACTTGCTGCCACTATATTGCCTTCGTCATGAGAAGATGACCGGTTTCATGATCAGTATAGTTCAGAGAATTACTAAAACCTATACTGTTTGATTCAGCCGTATACGTGTTTCTTTCTACATCACATTCTGGATGGATATATATGGTTGAATAAGTTCTCTTTACTTCTATAAGAGTAGAGTAGTAGACTCTTGGGTGTATGAACCTCATTTGATTTTGCTTGGCAATGCCAATTAAAAAGTTAATCGTTCAAATGTTGTTCGCGTTTCAGATAACGTTTTTTTACTGATGTATAAAAGTTGGAAATCAGGAAACGGAATGGATGAACCAAATTTGAATAGGCAGCCAAATACAATTCGAAACACGAGATGCTTTGCTTAATCTTTGTTGAGTTTTATAGAGACCTTCTCGACCTTCTATAACCGAGCTAAATATTTGAATGACAAAGCAATTTTCTCTTATAAAACATATGATATTGGTTAAATATCGGAGAGAAAATTAAAAAAGGCTGAAAGATTTCCTTAGCAAACCTTCAGTTAGACATCATGCAGACGAACAGTTTTTGTTCCACAATTCTACAGCCCGCCCCCCCCCCCCCACCTCTCCGCCCCAATCTGGTCTTGAGTTAATTACCTGGCTAGAATCAGGGTAGAATGCCTCATTTCATACTTCGAGATGACTAGGGTATATGGGAGAGGTGTCCTCTACTCTATTCATTCCCTCATGCATATTCACGAATTGTGCCTATGACCATGTGTAAATACTATACACAAGCATGTGTGCACATACCTAAATACTTTACATATATATACTATGCTAATATCCTGCTAGTAGAGATGGCACCAAATTGCAGAATAACTTATGCACATTGTTTACTACAGTCTTTTACATTTCAAACAGACCGATTCGTATGCATCCACTGGGTTCATCCGCATGCTTTGTATTATGTGTATTATGTTTAATTTTTATAATGTATTTATTAACTCTGCTGCAGGAAGCAGGATTCAAATAAAAAATGAATCAGAACACTGATTTGTTTCTGAACCTGCCATTTGGCTCTAAACCGGCCATATGTCTCGCGCATGAACAAGTGCGAGATGGTCAGTGCAAAATCAATGTTGAGACAACTCAGCCTGTAGGATGCACGAGAATATCTGCATCACAGCGCGTGGTTCATATGTAATAAATTCTGATAGCTTCTGATCGGATTACTAACCATGAAATACCTTGGTTCGAGGACTACATTTTGAATTCGTAGCAATCTCGAGCCGATGCCAGTGATAGTGCATTTTTTCTCGTTATGTTCGGCTCTGAGTTTACAGGCCTTGTTTCAGTGTGTTATATAGAAATATAGAAATGAACGAGGCTCATAACCATGCACATTGAACCGCTGTGCATATATAGATATTTCGTTATTATATCATGCCGTTTCTTATAAAAGCGTATATTCAGCACTGCCAGACATATATCGCCTGAATATTGACTGAATCTATAGATAAAACCCAAATAAATTTGAAAATTTATTTAAAAGCTCTTAGTACTTTTATCCGACGGAAATGACAGAATTGCTGTGTCATTGTCGATCCAGCTATTGATGACATAATTATTATATATGCAAAATATATGCGAAAATGTACAATATACAAGGTATACAAAAATATTATTGCCTGGCGGACTTATATTTAATTAAATAAAATTTGTGTGTTCACGTTGCATTAATCGTTCGTTCAGAAGTTTTACTTGTTCTTTAAGACTATCTACTTGCTGTTGAAGTTCTAATTTATCTTCTTCTAATGTTTTTACTTTTTGAAGCACTTCAATTTCTTTTACACGCCTTGCCTCACGGCTCTTTCTTGCTCGCTCCGTATTTTGACAACGTTTCTTCCAATAAGCGTCGTCTTTCATTTCTTCTGGAATTGAACGTTTTCGCGATCGCTTAGAAATCGGTCTAGGATCATAGTTCACTCTTTTTTGTCGATAATTCCAATGAATGCGTTCTGTTAAATAACCCGGTTCATTCTTAGCAGAGACTTTGTTGTTGGAACGAGTCTTGGGTTTACAGTGAGGAACGTAATCTTCTCTGCTGTACATGCATTGATTTTGTTCAAATGTGTCTGAACGAATACCAAATCCAGGGCATGCATTGAATATATCGTCCAATTCAGTTCCTTTAAATGCTGCAAATACATCAAGATCTCCGTCGCTCCCATCCAGGCTACCGTCAGTGGAATCATTGGATTCGCTAATACCACATAATTCGTTTCCAATCAGCAGAAAATCTTCTTCCATATTTAAGATACGATTTCGTGTAGTTGGAATGAAGTAGCGGTTTCCTCCACAAATTCTGTTGTCGAGCTACTGACAGGATAAATAACTATATACACAGCGGGTTTGCAGTTTATGAAAAGCCTCTTGTCTTCACTGTGTGATGATTCGAATGACTAGGTTACTAATGAACAAGCTGTTGACCCGGCCCGTGATAGCAATCAGCTATTGAGATACTTCTATTCCAACTGAATACTGTTAGAAGTGTTCGCTCCACTTTAGTACGTTCGCTTGAATGACAGGACGTGTGTTATAGCTTCGGTTTTTCAAGGTGACTGGTAGGATACGTAATAATATATGTACAAAGAAAGTATCTAAAATTTTGGCGTGGGCGATTAATTCAAATTCATTATTTCCTTGATATGCAAATAACTCATTGAAACTGTCGTTTTATTGCAGCGAATACCCGGACTAACACAAAACACAGTAAGATAGCGACTGAAGAATTCAAAATTGAAAAGATTATTCGTCCACAATATCCTACGCCTATAGTAATTTACTAGGGTAGGTGGGCATCAATCTATCTAGCAATTTTGAAATGACTTGATCGATCGACTAAACCTTGAACAAAAACTAATTACAAGATATTTTTAACCGCGATTATGAAACTGTCAAATACCAGAATTTGCATATATCGGCAATATGCAGGGACAAACATCATATGTACATAAGTTCATTTTCTCTTCAAGATCGGCAGCAGACTATATGCATGAGGATCATAAAGTACTTAATAGGGTACTTGACATCCTCCTTCGGACTAGCGGATATAAGTTTGCGTGTGGCGAAAAAGGCATTTACTGATTTATAGCTTTGTCAATAATTACCCGCTGTATCATTGCACGAGGAACAACGGAAAAGCTAAGCCATATATAGCTCTAGCGTCAAGAAATTGTTACTAGGGAGAAGTATCAAGTATGTCAAATATAGACGGCGGTTATGAACTATCAGCTTGTGAATTTGTTAACCCATGCACCCGGCCATTAAAACGTTATATTTATAAATAGTTCAAAGAGAGTGAAATAATTACGGCCGTTTTGCCGTTTTAGCCTCTAAAAGTGACGAAGAAATTCAACTGTCTCGTTCTCAAAATGCCTTTTTCACTTAAGAAAACGCAATAGATGTGCTGGTATGCAGAGGATTACAAATTCCTTTTTCCAAATATAAGACATATAATTGCCTTAATTAAATTTGAACATGACATTTTTCTATACTCATAATATATATCATCTATAATGGGGCTGACAAAAAGCAATTTGCGTCCATTATTTAATAATTTGTATTAGACGACCGCGGCCAACTAAGCTTACAAAAAGTGTCCAGAAAAAACTGCCGATGGCATTTTTTGTTAAAAGCATAAAACTATCGGCAATTGAATATCATCGGATAGTGTTTATTTTGAATTAAAATGAGAGTGGTTGTCAACCGTAATTTTTTATTTATGTGCTAAAACTTGAAGATATTTCCTAGAACAATTTGGTGGATGGGACTTCTTTCAAGTGCTATATTTCATATTAGGGTTTTATTTTAATTGGCTCACTGTCTCAGTAAGTAACATGCATGTGTATAGTTCACTTCGGGTAATCTTCATCCACATATTTCAAAATGATATGCTAATAGGTAATCATGTTCTCATTAATCCAAGTCCATTTTAACAAGTGCAGTAATAATACCTTATTTTCGTTAGCATATATCGCTTTGAATTACGGGACTGAGATAACCAGAAATTTGCATATAATGCATGTCAATTAAATAGCCAGACAGTTATAATAAAATTGTACTGTGGAACACTGTATTTCACAGAAATCCATCCATCGAAATGTCGTTAATGTAAAAACATTCCAATTTCGCTACATGCTGAATAAAAAATTATGGACGGCATAAACTCTCCGTCTTCATGAGAACGACGATGTTATTGAAATAAAAACCAAATATCACCCAATTTAATTTGTCTTATCTTAACTCTTGCCCTTCTTTGGACGATCTGAAGATTGAAGCGCTTTGTAAAAATGAAAACAAATACCGAGAAAATCCTGAGGATTGATATATTAGATTTTTAGGTCGCATTTTTTCAAGATGATTTTTTCGGAATTTGTCTTATTTCTTACTAACTGCATGCTTTTTCGAGTTGTCGGCTAGAAATGGTTTTTCAATCTTGTAAACGCACACAAAGTGCTGCCAGGAAATAACACTCATAATATCGGCATACAAAGACTACTGATACAGTAGTACTCAATGCGTGATATCCGTTGCTTACCCTCAACTGAACACACCCTGATAAATATATACGTGTGTTTTGGCGTTGCTAACGACTGAACACGTTGTGATTACGGAATATTCAAACACGCCGGTTCCCGTTTCGCTTCCGGCATTGACTCTATTTTCCGTTATGCTGTATAGTGAACTAGCAAGTTTGTCGTTTTGGACAACAGAGCAAACATTTCAGTAAGTGATTCCAAAGTATTAGCCTTATTATACTAATGTTTTTGTTTTGTTTCCTAAAAATCTATAATTATAAGAAGTAATAATTTAGTAATAAAATATTCTTGACATCATTACTTAAGTTACTTTTATTACGCGGCACGTCAGTGTTTTTCACGGTTTGTTTCATATATTGCATCTCATTACTATAAAGTTGTCTCGAGTATCAAGAATATATATCGTTTCAAGAATAGATTGTTGATAGCCTGAGTTGCTGAGAAAATATCATGCATCTCTTTTAAGTTTATTGACAGAGTTATTTGATTGCAGACCTGGCTGATCAGAATTTCCAGCGCACATGTGCATCGAGTGCCATCTGCTCTACCTGTGCATGGCGTTAATTGGCATCATAGTGATTTAGGGTTGGGTAAACTGAGCTAACTGGTTTAGGGTTCAACTCATAGATATCTTATATACACTAGATAGTGCATCTAATTATTCTGTAATTCAAAAATTGAAGCCGTGATTGCAGACTCAGGATATTCAAATGAAATGAGAAGACTCGTATGCAGGGGCGTAAATGTGTGTGTGTGTGTGTGTGGGGGGGGGGGTCACCCCCCCAGAGAAATGATCCAGGCGGTCTCAAACTAAGTGCAGTCGGTCTAAAAATTATGCGTTTGTTTACATGCAGTGCTTTGCGAAGCAAATTAAATATTCAGGCAAAACTCTAGATAGACTCAAACTATTGAGTATTGAGTTGGAAATTTGCTCAAATGGATCAATCAGCTCAGAAATAATATGAAGAAATATTCACGTACTTATTTCGCGAGTTTATGAACGAATTATCAGTCAAAACACGCGTAAAGGGATGAAGTTTCATTTACTTTCCAAACATAGAGATATCTATATGTTACGATTACGTGTTGGCACCACTGGTACCCGGTTGGCACTTTTATTTGGAATTTAGGTTCTGCAAGGTCATTCACGGGTGATATTCTATATTAGCAAAAATTCCAAACCCCCCAAATCAGACTCCAAAATGCGATGAATCTCGATCAAAAATGGGACCGGAGAAATATTGCAACTAATGTTAGCTATTTTGAATCAAAATAGCTAACATTAGTTGCAATATTTCTCCGGTCCCTAAACTATATTTTTAAGATGCAAAGTGCAAAAACGAATTTCTAGCCGAGTTATATTAGGAAGTATGTTCACATGTAACACGATATGCATATGCATTTTGTTACCAAAGAGCTTTATGTGCCTACTGCAATCAAGAAATTCGATCAATGACTACGACGCACAGCTCGTTTAACTGAAATCACGGAGCGAAAAATTGTTTCCACTGACTAGGCGATGTTTCCAATTGTTGCTTACAATCAGGCCCATAACTAGGTATATGAGTCAATCGAGCTGTTCAAGTTCAATGACAGACTGTAGTTCTCTCCATGTAAAGAAGCATTCTTCTTGCCCTATAGTGACGTAAGAAATGGGAGGCTGTGTGGGTGCACAAGTACCCCAATAACAAAAATGCGGGCCAGCGCCCAAATATTACAACAATTGAGTACAAACACTTTTTTATTATGCACCCGATCAATGATGTTCGACAAAAAATATTTGTAATTCTTAGCCTCAGGATTGGGGGAAAACTACAGTATAAAATTATAGTCATATATTGTGGAAGAACTGGAAATCCCCCCTTTCGTACGTCTATAAGCAAAATTGGTGATAATTTCTGCATGTTACATTCGTATAAATAACAGTGAAAGAATGGATTTGAAACACATTTCATTTCGTTAAACGTTTTGTTACTCTTTGTCAGTCAAAATCATTTTGTGTTCGTCTGTAGCTGGACTTAATTATAAACATTCTATTATAAAGAATTGGCAACACAGTGGAATGTGGGAGTTAAAGAGGATGCACTCCGATGCACGTAATTAAGTGCAGATGTGTTGAAGTCCTTGACAAAATTTATAGTTATATATATTGGCTAAGATCACTAGACGACCACAGTGACATATTTGGTTGAAGAGTGGTATTCAAGGATTGCTCAGGACCTCAGAGGAGGCAAGGCGGCTTCTCTAACTTTCCAGAACCTAAAATGGTAAACGAAATTTAATATTTCCGATTTGCTTCTCTTACAGTTATATGCTAAAATTGAACAACATGCATGCACCCCAGCGCTGTTGAAATAATTATCCACACGAAGGAAAATATAATACACATTGATAGTTTCCAACCCCTTTTGCACGGTTTTCGACTACTTGACAGCAGTTTAATTAATATAGAACAGTATCCGATACTCTATGGTAGTCCATATATTCCTACACTCATGGGGTGCTTTCCATTTAATAGCCTGACCGGTCAGACCCAAATTCTTCTCTCTGTATCAATGGAAAGATCTGGTCTATGTTTCTCAAATATCTAGCGAAAATGGACCTCATATATTCTAATTTTATCTAAATTTTCCGGTCAGATAGGTTCGAAGCCCAAATGTTTTGTATTCCATTCAACACTTTGACCGTTCTGGCCGTGTTAATGGAAAGCGCCCTTGGATATCAACATTTGAATGTTGAAGATTATATACTGTTTTCTCAAAAAAATCCCTGCATCAAAACCTGTCATCACGAGACTATATGTAAAATCTATATAAGACGCAACTGATTGACTAGCATATAACCACACTGAAAACCTGTGTTTTGAGCATCGATAATTCATGTGCGGTCGACGTGATTTAAAACAGTTTTAATTATTAGAAATCGGACTTTGTGGGAGATGAAAGAAACTTCGAGGAAGTATAAGTTCCTACAAGGAGCTTGTTAAGTGTAAGTAAAATGAAAAAAGGATACTGAAAAGAAACAATGAACTAACCTAGACAATTAACTGATAAACTGTAAAATAAACAGTATCCATGACACCCTTATGAATGACCAGTTTATATGCAACATGCAATTGCTATTTATATAGTTTCATCTTACTGTCATAATTTATTAACCAAAACACTGTATATGTAATGACGAAACTGGATTTCCAAGAAAAGGCTTATAAATGGTCAATATTGATCAATCTTTCATAGGTCTTCAAGGACAAGGAACGTTTTCGACGTTCCAATGACCATGGCCGTCGTGAAGTATAAAATGCAGGCTATATAAGAGTAAATTAAAGTTTGAAATGATGATATAAATTGAAATGTATATTGCACGAGAGGACGCAAATCAGTTCATCTTCAATTCATCATTTGGTTTTCGTGTGATCTTAAATTAATGTGGTATTTCATTAAGTTTACGTCCTGAAACCTCAGTGGAAAAGTATGCTTTAACACTCACTATAGCTTTAAAAACAAGCCGATATGGTTGGCCACGGACACGAGTATTCCAACGCTGTACCTCGAAACGTCGATCAAGACGTATTTTCTCTCCACACACTCTTTTTAATCTTTATTTTTTAACAATCATCTACATTCCGCATGTTTGTCTATACTGTACATATATATACTGATATAATTTTTATGAACAGATATTCCAATTCTCCCTTCTCCGAGCTCCGTCATTGCAATCTCTTATTTTGCAAACTGTAGCTAACTTATAAGTGCATGCCATTGAAATATAAATAAAAAGAAATTGAAGTAATAAATGAGTGCTAAATCAGAAGATTGATTATAATATATATAATGATTTCTGTTAGAAACTGAAAGCATATACTAGCAATACCTTTATTTAAATTATAGACAGTCAACTATCCGGAGAAACATAGCTGAGAAGTTATAAAGATGTTGTACACCATATTATAATGAACTGCAGTCTGCATGCGGCGGTGTGTCGAAGTACTTGACAAAATTTTATAATTGGCGGGGACTGGCATGGTCGATCACAGAGACTCAAATTTGAGAATATTGAAAGAGTGGTGTTCTGTCGTTATCCACGATCTCAGAGGAGGTGAAGCGGCTTCTCTGACGTGTGAGAACCTATAAAACCTATTAAAAATAATATTTCCGGTTTGGCTTCCTATTATGAACGAACACTTAAAGATGGACTTATATAGTCCGCACATACGGAAGAATATGTATTCATGCATACTGTAGTTTCAAACTACCACAACTCACAAGACGTATATTCAAATGTTTATAAGCTGCTGTACACGTGGTTTGTGTCAAAACTACCAGAAAATTAAATATTACTATACAACAAATATTTGACGTTTTCACGTTTTTCTTTTTAAGGTAGTTGAGACAAACTAGGTTTCCTTATTTGTCCTTGTAGTCCTTTTTCCTCCCTTTCGAAACCTGGAGTGATGCCTAGCTATAGTTTATATCAAAACTGCAGGGAATTATTGCTCCTCGTCTACTCGCCCACAAGTTGTATATTTCAAACAAAGAAAATCTTTATTCCACCGTCCATCGGCCTCTTTCGCATGTAAATAATGACAGTGTTTGTAGTGTTTTGCAATAAGTAATACTGAAATTCTAGTACCTTATTATAAGAATTTAATCTCACTAAACGCCATCAGCGTGTTGCTTCGCTAGCTCGCCTCAAACATCAGTATTTTGGGGGTTTTTTTAATTCTCGGCCTCAATGTAAAAAATACATCAGTGTCAATAGGTAACAAATTTAAACTAGTTTAATATATTTCTCTCCATGCATTATACTTCTCTTGGGTAAGAAATATCTTACGGTCGACCTACTTTACAATATAATACGCATACATGAAGTATTGTTTGCTTGTCATACTGCTTGTAAGTCCAAGCGAACCAGGGCGCTTATATAGCCGGTGGGCGGTTGAAACGCGCTCATAGCGTGCTGATCGACGTGCGATGCGGTATAAAGAGAACTGGAACGAGCGTGCTATTCGGAAAAATTGACAAGGATTTGACAATTTCGCACAGTGTCATATTATCCCTGTTTTTTTCAATTTATATAGGATATTAGACGGTTGCGAAAAGATATGGATTTTATGTTCGAGTGGCAAAAACAATATCTCACGAGTGAGCGCAGTGAACGAGTGAGATATTGTCTTTGACACGCCAGAATATCTTCTCGCAACCATTTAATGTTCTGTTTATTATATGGACTTACTCCGAGTGACAAAAATACACACAAAGACGATATGTAAATAAGCACGGGAAAGACCAGTGATCAGTATAAAAGCGATATTTTTTAAAATTATAGTGCAAACATAAAACTAGAATAAATTTTACTTATCTCAAGATATCTTTTAAATGTTCGTTTTATTTCCAACGTTAATTTCGTTTTAAATACGAACCAAAGACCATTTGTATTTTCAAAACAACAACAATGAAAATGGCGGGAAATTTTCGAACTTCGTATGTCACTAGCAGGGGTGAAATACGGAAAATACGCGCACCTGGCCCCGGATATAGTGACGTATGAGTTCTATACGAGTGTTTTAGTTTCCAGTAAAACACCATTGTCCATATAATAAAATCAAATATGACATTTTTAGCCAACTTTTGAACGAAATTGCCGAACTTGTTGTCAACTTTACAGAGAAATTCCAATGCAAAAAGAAACAATGAAAACCAGGAACTAACCATAGCTAATTCAAATAAACAACTGAACAGCATATTCATTACTATATATGAAAGAATATAGTTTTCATTCACTTGATAGTTTAATTTCAATAACGTCTGCTGCCCAAAACTAAGTCACGTAACTGTGTGATTCTAACTGTGTGTTTATATGAATATGATATGATTATGTTACTACAATGTTATACCTAACTAATTTAGTAACTGCCATAACTAAGGGCCATAAATATATTGATGCCAAAATCGAGACCTGAATACTTTTTTCTTACAAGCTAGGTCACCAAATGTTGCTGTCGTAACATGCGAGCGAGCAAGTGAGCCCAAACTATGAAAATAATCGGAAATGAATTGAAACTACGTGACCACAAATTAGCCAAGTGATCACGTTTAGTATAAGCATTGTCTAGCTATATAACAATTATATTTACCTATGCTGGGTGAGTAAAAAAAACTGATACCTTTGATATTCAAATTATAACAAAGGTGTCAGTTTTTTTTTACTCACCCTGTACATAAGGTCAAGGTACTGCATAACAATATCTGGAGGGCAAGAAAATGCTGTTCTTTGTTTTACTCCGATCCTTTGTTTACAAATCCCGCAGCTCGCTCCATGCTTTCCAGGCACCTATTGTCCTCAACTATGTATTTTTAGTTAACTTCAAAGAGCCTATTGTGGTTTATTACAATGCCATATCAAGATAACGAAATATCTTTTCAAAGAAGCAAAATACAAATTGAAAAAAAACAACAAAATGCATAATAATAGCGAGTGTTTTTTATCTCATTAATTACAGCAATATTAAATATTTCGAAAGTTTAGTACCTAGTTAATAAAATTTTTTGCTTCGGCTTAAAGCCGAAGAGCTATGTCCTTAGCAAAATTTCACTCGTGACTATTTGCGTAAGCAAATCCCCTAGTGTCCCCTAGTGTCGTAAGCAAATCCCCTAGTGTCCCCTAGTGTCGTAAGCAAATCCCCTAGTGTTTTCTTCACGCGTGCAATCGGCGCCGAGTATTTAACATGTTGAATTTTTTTCGCAGGAGGGACGATTTCCTCCAAGTGTGCGCACAGCAGAGTTCACTGGCAAAGCACAAGCAAACTAAACAGCTTACAATGTTATGCAAATACACATGCGTATTACTTGAGTCTTACAAAATAAAATGGGGGCGAGTGAACACCGCTAAAAAATGTCTGCATGTGCATGCGTCAACCTTCCTGAAACTTGCCTTGCGAACGTGGTGTCAAAAACAGGAAAAACGTCTGCGCATGCGTCACCCTTACTGAAATTTGGCTTGCGAACGTGGTGACAAGTGTTCCGAAGGTTCTACAAAAACTCAAAATGGGAGCGACTTCGATGTTTTTCCTTTTCTGTGAAAATGCAAGTGGAATAATGAATGTGACAATCTAAAAACTAGAAATAATTACATTCTACATGTGCATTTCATACCAAGAAATATAAAGATTAAATTAAAAATAATCGTGTTGCTTTGGCAATACTTGAGTTGACGCGCAACGCGAGCCTGCGTTCAGTGTTAGCCAATTACTAATACTTCATGTTAAATCAATGTTTGGAAAATATAGGCACTATATAGAGACGCACAGAAGCCAGAAGGTAGATCCAAACCCTAAGAAGTGATAATGGCGGGGAGTACACAAGTAAAGAGTTTACCCAATTTTGTAGAAGTAAAGGTATTGTTCACCAATATACCAACCCGTATACTCCCGAGCAAAACGGTGTCTCAGAGAGACTAAATCGGACATTGATCGAATCTGCTAAATCAATGATGTTCCATGCTGGTTTACCTCAACGTTTCTGGGCTGAAGCAGTCAACACAGCTACTTACCTTCACAACAGAAGTCCAATAAGCTCACTACCTGACAAGACACCATATGAATGCTGGTATGGTACAAAACCTAATGTATCTAACTTAAAGGTATTTGGATCAATCTGTTTTGTGCTTATCCCGGACAGTTTAAGACGAAAACTAGACCCCAAATCTCAAAAAGGAATTTTCGTTGGATATCCACTCCAAACGAAAGGCTACAAGGTCTATGTCATAGAATCGAAGCGATTTGTCAGAAGTAAAGATGTGTTGTTCCACGAAGATAAATTTCGTGACTTTCAATTACCAGTATCTTATCATCAGTTTGAAGATGTTGATGACCATATTGATCGTGAGGATGAGGATGAAATGCACAACGATGTCAGAAATGAACCTCTTGAGCCTGCAATTCCAGTTGAAATAGAGAATCAAGAGCATACACCACCAGTGGGAGTTACCCAACCTGGAACTACATATGAAGAAAATTTTATGAGGCAAGTTGCAAGTATCGGCCCGAAAAGACAAACTAAACCTCCTGAAAGACTTTTACATGATGAATGCAATGTTGCCACATCATTGAAAGCTGATCGTGATGAACCAAAGTATGTAACTGATGCCCTGAATGGTACGAAGTCTGCGAAATGGAAACAAGCCTTAGAAGCGGAGTACAATTCTTTGGTGAAGTGCGAGACATGGGATTTGGTCCCTCCTCCTGATGATGCGTGTATTGTCGGATCGAAGTGGGTCTTTAAAGTTAAACGTAAAGCAAATGGAGAAGTTGACCGGTATAAAGCCCGCTTGGTTGCACAGGGATATTCCCAAACATACGGCGTAGATTACGAAGAAGTATTTGCACCGGTAGCTCGTTATTCCAGCATCAGAACATTGTTAGCCCTCGCTAATGCCCATGATTTGGAAATCCACCAAATGGATGTAACCACTGCATTCTTGAACGGTTCACTTGAACACGACATATACATGGAACAACCCGAAGGTTTTGTCGATCCAAATTGCCCTGATCATGTCTGTAAACTTAAACGAAGCATTTATGGTCTGAAACAATCGGCCAGATGTTGGAATCAAACTCTTGACAATTTCTTAATCAAGAATGGCTATCGCAAAAGTAACGCTGACAGTTGTCTGTATGTGAAATCTGTGAAACAAGATAATGGTCGTATCAGTTTTGTGATTCTCGCAGTATATGTGGATGACATAATCCCAGTCTCCAATGATCTGGAAATGCTCAATGCAGAAAAAGTTATTACGAAACGAATTCCAAATGGTTGATCAAGGAGAGTTACACTTCGTCCTTGGGATGTCCATAAAGAGAGATCGAGCTAAGAAAACCCTATTCATCAGTCAAGAGAAATACTTGGAGGGTGTCATCAATCGCTTTGGTATGCAAGATTGCAACCCAGTATCAACCCCACTTGAAACAGGAAAAACTTTCCAGAAACGAGCCGATGATGAAGAACCGTGTAACAAGGAAACCTACCAGCAAGCAATTGGTTGTTTAACATACGTTTCAACTTCAACAAGACCAGACATTGCTGCTGCTGTGGGATTACTCTCACAGTATATGTCGAATCCAAGCAAAGACCACTGGTTAGGTATTAAGCGTTTGCTGCGGTATATCAAAGGAACTTTGACATACGGTTTGAAGTTTGTTGCAAACAAGAATGAATGTGATCTACATGGCTATGCTGATGCCAACTGGGCTGGTGATGTGGACACACGTCGATCAATCAGCGGATACATTTTCAAAGTTGCTGATGCTACTATAAGTTGGAGCAGTAAGAAACAATCGACTGTTGCAAAATCTACAACGGAAGCAGAATTTGTTGCATTGAGTCAGGCCTGTCAGGGAGCAGTTTGGCTGCGTAGATTGTTGTCCGGTCTTGGTTGTAATACTGATGGTCCCACCTTAATCAAAGAAGATAACCAAGGAGCGATAGAAATTGCCAAAAACCCGAAGTTTCACAATAGAACAAAACACATAGACATAACTTTCTATTTTATACGCGAAAGAATAGAATCGAGAGAAATCAAAGTTGAATATTGTTCTACCCATGATATGCTTGCTGATATCATGACGAAGGCTTTGCCAAGAGAAAGATTCGAGAAGCTGAGGAGCTTAATGAACGTTTGTTCATTTTAATAATTTTGACTAACAATGAAGTTTCGTTGACATTTCATTAGGTTGCATTTGGACAACAAACATAAAAACCCAATAATTAAGTGGGAGTGATAAGAATATAATTATATGTGTTTACATATGCTAATATATGCATGTTGTGAAGTCACATGGTATGTCCTCGTGATCTATTGTTAACTCATTGTCTTATAATATAACCTTTGTTGTTGTGTTTTAAACTCTTTGTATCGCAGGGAAATAGATGTAATCCTAACACTTGCTTATACAGATAGTGCATACGCAAAATCACCTCATCAATTTCGTCGAACACGGTCCCTTGCAAACTATCCTTCAGTGACAATTCAAGGCGGTGTGCAACGCACCAACCAAAATTCAACCATGGGTTTTCTCTTCTTAAAATTGCCTTTACACCTTCTTTGTTACCTTTATTCACATTTGCCCCATCGGCTCCAAAACCAACTAATTTATGGAATAAATCATCAATTGACACTGCTTTGAAGCTTTCTTTAATACTTTCTACTATCCCGGTTGCTCCAGCAGTTTGTAGGAAGTTAAGCTTGAGGAAACTTACAACAACTTTGACTTTGTCACATCCCGGAGGATCCGGATCGAAATGAACCACAAACACAGCTTCATTTTCAGACGTAGCCGCATCAGTAGAGCCATCTGTTAAGACACTGTAAAAGTGAACTTTAGCTAGTTGCTGTTTTAATTCCTCCGCAATACTCTCACTTATGTAATCCATAAACACTCCCCCAGAGTTGTTGTTACGGTATGCTGTACCAATATCAACTCCAAGTCTCTCTTCAAGGTCCAACATTGTACTATACTTCACAATAGGCAGTTCCTCTTTCGCGATGTAGTATGCGATTTGAAATTTCTTCTTCGTTCTTTCTAAGTCTTGTTCATTAAGTGTCGCGAGGGCAGACAAAAAGCTTCCTTGCTTTTGCGAGTCAAGGACACCCTGCATGGCTTTAGAACGCTCTGATACGTTCATACCTTTTTGATTCATAACCAGAATCATTGCCTGTTTATGGGGTTCACTGGTGGCATGATCTGTTGCGCTTGACAACATAAGTCGCGTGCATCCTTCATCCGATGACCACTGTGGAGAAAAACCCTTGACACCTGAAATTTGTGTATAATATCTTGTACATGCACTGTATTTCAATGCTTTTACTTGGTTTGCATCAGTGTCTTTTAAAAAAAGCAGCCAGTCCTCTGCATTATATACTGCTAGTTGCGTGGTTTTCCATTTTTCTGCGGTTGATACGTGCAAAACTCTCTTACTAACCTTGGCAGCGGTTGCAGGTTTTTCAGTCGTGCAGACGTCCTTTGAACTTATGGCTGCCCCACCAAAATAGGAGGAAATATCAATTTGTTTCCTTTTGCTCATATCTCATTAAGACATTATGTCATAACTTTTTCTGTCTTTCCAGAATCAGAAACTAGTTTAAATTATCACAATTGATCTTAATTAAAGTACCTGAAAAAACCCCCAAAACTCACATAAGTCTAATAAGCATTATAATATTACACTAGCGTATAACTTAGTATAGATCCTACGTCTACGACTTCTAAAGCGGGCAAAATAACCATTAACCAATCTTTTACTATTATTTAGTCACAAACTGAAAAAATTTCTACAAAGTATTTAAGGTGACCTAACATAATCATTGAACGATAAACCCAATCTTGATACAGATACTAATAGATAACATTGTAAGTCAGTAATGACGGCCATCTTAATATACAATACTAATGTAATGACTGCCATCAATATATACAATGCTAATAGTGTGACGACATTTACTGTAATATGTAGTTTAGTTTATTATAACACTTTTCAAGTTTTATTGTTTTAACTATAGTTGTTGCATTTTTAACACAAAAGCGAAAAAACACTGTCACAGCACTGAGCAGCACTATCAATCAAGAACTAAAACTTATTATTTAATATTAATAATAAAAAATCCTACACAAAAAATATAAAAATTCCTACTCACCTGCATCATTATCATAACAAAAACGTTCGCGGTCAGCGGTTCGTATTGCAGACTGTTGAAGAGACGACAATACTTCATACAGATTTGTTTTATAGTAAATTACTTTAGCGAGAATAGTATTGCGCCTCTCCTGTCGTATCAACTAAACAAGAGTTTTCGCGTGTTTTTGAATGTGTTTTATATTACTTTTACTTGCCTTCTGCCGCATACAGGTAAGCATGTCTTTCAGACAATGGTCAAATATATTTCTTGCCGATCAAGATGAACGGCAACCTTGCTTCTTCGCCGATCAAAAACAATTTCCTGCCGATCTTTGATCGGCCGTTATTTCGAGCCCTGTAGATATAGATAGATAGATATAGATAGATAGATATAGATAGATAGATAGATAGATAGATATAGATATAGATAGATTGATTGATTGATTGAAATCTTTATTTAAACACGGTGGATTTATCAAATGGAATAAATAATAATTATTTACAATTTGTTCTTCCTAAAAGCCGTGTATAGTTTATGATATACGTACATTTTTACATTTTTTTTTGGAATTTTTGAAAGAAAAGAGACTATTTACAATTATTCATAGAATAATAACTGACTATATTGGTGCAGATAGCAGATGTTCTAATCTTTTTATGAACCTTTTTAATGAAGGTTCATGTTTAAGTTCGTCTGGTAAAGAATTCCATAGCTTTGCTCCAGTGAAAGCAAAACTTGAATTATAATAATCTGTTCGATTTACAGGAAGCTCGAAATTTAATTTGGATTGACGAAGGCTATAATCATTTAAGCTACTATGAAATGTAAACATTTCCGTTAAATATTCTGGTGCAAGACCATGTACTATTTTATACATCATAATAGCTTTTTGTTTTTCTCGCATTTCTTTTATATTCATCCAGTTTAATTCCGCCAAAATCAACGAAGATGATTTTAATAAGGGTGCTCCCGTAATTATGCGCGCCGCTCTGTTTTGAAGAACTTGCAATTGTTTTTCCAATGACTCACTTATATTGTCCCAAACAATTGAACAGTAAATAAAATATGGTTCAATTAATGCTCTATACAGAGACACAAGATTTTTTCGACTAAAGAGTTTCTTCACTTTACGGAGGGCTGCAATATTACGGGATACCTTTAAACGGATGCTCTGGATGTGTATTTCCCATGTTAAGTTCTCGTCAATATCGACACCTAAACACTTTACAGATCTAACTTTACTTAATGTCACATTATCAGCCGATAATACTATTGAATCGTCAAGCGCCGATAATTTTGTCGTGAGCCAATTAGCATAAAATCTGTTTTTAGGACATTTAGCGTCAATTTATTAGAACAAAGCCATTGAAATATGTTGTTTAGATCACTTGTCATTTGCTCTTGAATTGATTTAATGTTACAACCTGTGAAGGTCATATTTGTGTCGTCGGCAAATAGTCTGGCAATACTATGGTCCAGGCATTTCGGTAAATCATTTATATATAACAAGAATAAGACTGGACCAAGAATGGAGCCCTGTGGTACTCCACATGTGATGAAGTCCTTGTTAGAATAGACTCCATTTACATGGCAGACCTGTTGCCTATCATTCAAATATGATCTAAACCACAATAAACTTTGATCATCGACACCATAGCATGCTAATTTCATCAATAAAATTTCATGGTCAATGGTATCAAATGCTTTTTTTAAATCTAAGAATATGACACCATTAACCATTCCCCTATCAATGTTGAAACACCACTGGTTTGACATATCAAGTAGTGCGGTCAACGTTGAATGGAGTGAACGAAAACCTGATTGTCTGGTATCGATGAGATCATATTCAGTTAAATAACTGTAGAATTGATCATACATTAATCGTTCGAATAGACGAGCTATAGTAGATAAGACTGAAATTGGCCTATAATTATTTGCATCAGCTCTTTCGCCAGATTTATGTATAGGAAATACTTTTGCAATTTTCCAATCACTTGCAAAGCTCCTCAACTTAATGGAAAGATTGAAGAGGTCTGTGAGTGACTGGTAAATATAAGGACCGGCAAGTTTCAATAACTTATTGGATATTTTATCATGACCTGAGGCCTTACGCAAATTTATTTTCTATATTAGTTTTATTACATCTTTGTATCAATTTTTTTAAAATTGAATTTAGATGCAACTTTTGTCATAAAATCATCTAGTTTCCTTCCACTTATTGTGGGAACATTAGATGCTAATTTTGGGCCAATTTCAACAAAATGTGCATTAAAGTAATTTGCTATATCAAGCGATTCAGTCAAATCTTGATCTGAACCAGTTGATATTTTATTAATTTCAGTATTTTCAGATTTTCTCCCCATCGCGTCATTCAAAATTTTCCATGTTTCCTTTGAATTGCCGCGATTTGTATTAATTTCGCTCTGAAAATACTGCTTTTTAACTTTCTTAATCTCACTAGATACAACATTACGTTGTCTTCTATAAGCCAGCCAGGTTTCAGGATTATTTGTCAGCATGGCTTTTTTCTTTAGTCTGTCTCGATTAAACATTTTCTGTTTTATCTCAGCATTTATCCACGGGCAAGGCTTATTGCGAACTCTAAAACTACGACAAGGCGCATGTTTATCAATTACTTCAAGGAACACTGATTTCCATGCATCGCAAGCTTTATTAATATCATCAAATTCATTTATCAAAGGCCACTTTGTAGATTTTAGACTTGACGTCAATTGTTTTTCGTCAAAGTTTTTGAAATTACGGCATTCAATATAACGCGGTTTTCCCTTGGGTAGACCAATTTTTCTAATTGCATATATTAAATCATGATCACTAATTGAAAGTGGGTAAACCCCTGAAGATATAATCGATTCGCTTGAGTTGGTTATAAACACATCAATTAAAGAATTTGAATTACTGCTTACTCTTGTCGAATCAGTAATTAATTGAGTAAATTGATAATTGATCATTATGTTTACGATATGTTTAGTATGATTCTCTGGAGGGTTTGATCGAAAATTGCAATTCAAATCACCCAGAATATATATTTCTTTGAACTTTCCGTCAACTTTCTTTAAGAAAAGTTCAAACTTTTCAAATAACTCTAAAGAACTTTTAGGAGGCCGATACCATGTAGTTATAAGAAATGGTTTTGAATTTGGTTTAGAAATCTCAAGAACAATCATTTCTAAATTACTATCTTCTAAATCAGTACGCCTATTATAGTTTATAGAGTTATGCAAGTATACACAAACCCCTCCGCCATGCTTATCTCTGTCTCGTCGTTCTAAATTATAACCTGATAACGCAACCGAATTATTAGTGTCGGTCTGATCAAGCTTTGATTTATTTATAGCTAGGATATCAAGTGGCTTGCTATGCATTAAAACTACAAGCTCATCAATATGTTTACTGAGGCTGTTAATGTTTAGCAAAGCCATCTTAAATCCTTTATTGAGAGACATTACATCATCAAATGATTTTTGGCTTTGAGCCGGCTGAGAAGGTTGATTATTACTATTTTTACTATCTGCACCATTTAAATTTCACTCTAAATTAATATGTTTTCTAAAGTTTGCGGCAAGATTAATTGTTCCTTTTAGAATTAAATGGAGTCCCCCGACGTTAAGGCAATCATGTTTAATATTGTTGTTGCATATAAACCCAAAGTTATTATCTACGCATGATTTCTCTAAGGACTCATTAACTTTATCAACTTTAGAATTAAGCAATGTATCATCAGTTCGATGTATAATTGATGAAATCGCAATTTCTACCGAGGAATGTTGTTTTTTTAAATCATTTGCCAGATCAATGATTTTCTTACTTATTTTCTTGGGATTGTCTCGCTTTAAGTTATTTGTACCTACATGAAGAATTATTTTCTTCGGCCTTTTCCTGATGATAGGCTTCACAAAATCCACCATGTCTTCAACAGTTGCACCAGGAAATGACATGTTCTTAACTTTGTGTTTTCGAGATAAGCGATGACCATGGATGTGCTTCGTTATAGAATCCCCAATGATAACAACGTCGCACCCATTTTGATCACGATTTTGTTGTGAAAATTCATTTTTAGCATTACCGTGTTCTTTACTGCCATCACTTGTAACATTCGGAGTGGGAAGCTTTGAATTTTCGATGTTTCCATGTTGTGGTTCTCCCATGTCGATATTGCCCTTTTTACCTTTACTTGCTTTGCCTTTGCCCTTGATGATATCGCTTCGGCCATCTTTTCCGTTTTTATAGTCGCCACTATGCGGTCTTGAAGCGTTTTCCTTCGCAAGTAATTTTAGGGTTGTTAACAGACTGTCCCTTTCCTCTGTAACGGATAACAACTTTGCCTGTAGATCGTTGTATGTTAATACACCGGTATATTCAGATTTCGGTTTTAGCTTTTGTTCAAGTTCTTCTAACCGAGTCGCGAGCGAATTTATGTAAATCGAATTTTTTTTACAACCAGGACAGAACTGTGGTTTCTCAAATTCGCTCGGAGCACTGTCGTTGAGATAAGTGTCTTCGTATGCATCTATATTTGACTCCAAATCTTTGTCTTGGGTCTGTTTACCAACAGCATCACATGCTTCGCTTTCGACTTCGTCTTCGAAGTTGCCATAATTTACATGGTTGGCTAGCGCAGTTGTTTCGGCACTAGAATCTTCAGATAAAGTAGCATAGCTTAGAATATTTTTCTTCACTACATCCTTCATTGCACCTTGTACGTTTACTGTCTTCGTAGTCTGGTAGAATGAAATCGTGACCGTATCACATTTCAACACATGAAAGCCGCCGTTATTCTTTGTAAACGAACACTCGCCTGATAACTTAAGTTGGCATTCTAAGAACAATTTTAGTTCAGGCAGATCGCTGAGCCATTTAATTTTAATCCCACTACGTCCCTTCTCAATTGAGAGGGGAATTTGTGATGTGGGAAGCTTTGAAGAAGAAGCTAGAAGGTCATCGTTTACAGAGCACTCAACAGCATGACCGTCCTCCATCTTGGATAGATAGATAGATAGATAGATAGATAGATAGATAGATAGATAGATAGATAGATAGATAGATAGATAGATAGATAGATAGATAGATAGATAGATAGATAGATAGATAGATAGATAGATAGATAGATAGATAGATAGATAATCTGTTTATTAAAATCATCTAGCAGCCATGCATAGAGCTGAATTACATGATTCTTATACAAATGGTTAAAACAATTACAAAATACCTAATTTAATATTATAAAAAGTATCTCTTAACTATTAGTTCTGTATTGTAAAATACCAATTTTTACGAGTTTATTAGACTAGATATTATAAAAGTATCTCTATATCTATTAGTACGATATTTTGGAATATTAAAAAGTTTTTCGTTCCTAAAATTATATGTCTCGGATGTCACCTTAGGTGGCAGTAAGTTGTGAAGCTTATGGCCCTCATTCTCTAGAATCGAGTTAAAAAGTTTCTTACATAAATCACCCCTGCGTGTAGATAAAGTCTTTAATTCTAACATGTCTAGAGCATCATGGTAAGACAGTTGAGGGTAAATTATGCGCAGTGCTCTCTTTTGAATCCTTTCAATAACATCAGATAGGTATTGTGGCAAGCCATAATGAAAAACTTGGCATGAATATTCCAGTATTGACCTTATTGAAGCGACATAGAAGCACTTGAGATCACCAGCATCAAGTCCCAACCTTCTGAGCTGTTTCAACAGGTAAATTCGCTGGGATGCCTTATTGATTATTTTTTCCTTGTGATCGTTCCATTTCAAGTCCTTTGTGATTGTTAAACCAAGAATGGATATTTTGTCAGCTCGTTCAATTTGTGATTGATTAAAAGACACAACAAATTCTTTACATTTTGATGGATTAAGCTGGAATTTATTTCTTTCAGACCAGTCAACAATAGAATTAATTACTTCTTGCAGAGAACTGTTTTCTGCCTGATCGGTGATGTATTCTGAAATATTAGTATCGTCCGCATACTTCATCATATCCCCCATCAAATTGATCGTTAGAAACTACAAGGTCATTGATCATCAGCAAAAAGAGCCATAGACCGAATTTAGTTCCTTGAGGGACTCCAGCATTGACAGGTTTCCAATTGGAAAAACAGTTCGGGGAAAGTTTACCCTTTGTAGTCTTCCCCTCAAAAAGTCTGATATCCAGTTTAAGGTTGATGTTTTTAGACCTATTCCCTGAAGTTTTCTATAAAGAGTATTATGATCTATAAGATCAAAAGCTTTCCGATAGTCCGTAACCAGTGAGCGCCCACATCCTCCCTCTTTGTCTACTGTCTTTGACCAACGGTGGATTAATTAAAGTAATTAAACCCAGGGTGGTATTAGAACCCGGTATGAAGCCATATTGGTTACAATCCAAGCGATCCATTATTGCCGGTTTTAGATCGTATTTTATTACGGCATCTTCAGCGATTTTACTGAGTGTTGAGGTAAGAGATATAGGTCTAAGATCTTTATTAACATCTATCACCTGTTTAACTTTTGGGATTGGGCAGATGTTAGCCATTTTCCAGCAGACAGGCACTCGATTTTCCTTAAATGATGTGTTTATAAAGATTGAGATTGGCATTGCTAGAATAACTGCAAACTTCTTTAAGACCCAGTTGGGCAGGCAATCTGGGGCACTGGATTTTCCCAACTTAACACCATTTAACGATTTAAAAACTTCTTCAGTCAAACAAATTGTAATATTATTACCGGTCATGGTAATGGTACTATCAGATAGTGGCTGGTAGTCGCACATAGGTTCCAAGAAACAGTCATTTACAAGTTACTAAGTGAATCGAGGTCTTGTGTATCTTGTTGCAGGTTTGCAAAGATATTACTCGTCGACTTTTGTTGATGACCACAGAGACGTTTCACCTCCTTCCACCAAACTTTAGGTTTAGTGTGTTTGAGTTCTTTCACCTTAGCTTCATAAAATAATTTACGGCAGTTTTTTCCTAGATCGATTCACTTTATTCCTTAACTGTTTATATAAAGCATGTTTGTTCTGTGCAAGAGCCTTTTGTCTTTTTCTAATCAAACGTTTCAGGTTGCTGTTCATCCAAGGTTGATCATTTTGATGAACCTTCAGTCTTCAGCGGCATTAGGGTATTAAGCCCATACTTTATAACGTCAGTAAAGTTATTCAGGTTTTGATCACAAGACTGGTTTGGATTAACCACTATGTCCCATGGCACTTCGCATAAAAATCTTCCTAGGGGACGGATGCTGCTATGCCTCTTGTCCCGCACGTTAATAATAGTTTCTTTAGACTGGTTACCACGAGTTTTTTCTTTAGAAAAGGCAACAACAGTAAGGTGGTCCGATAAACCAAGTGGAGGAGTACTTAAAGGCTCTTCTTAGAAGTTGGACAAAGTCTAATTTACTTGTTCCTCTTGTATTAAAATTTACAATCTGCCTGAGTTGAAATTGATGGCTGATATGTCTTATAGGTAGTTTATTAAAATCTCCTGCCAGGATTAGGCCGCATTTAGGATATCTGGTTTCCAATAACTGTAATGATGACTGTAAGTATTCTAGCATATCTGACTTATTTCCAGTGGGTGGGTGGTATAAAACTGCTGCGACGAGTGTTGAAAAGCCTCTTGGTAACCTACATGGGTTGATTTTGACCCACAGCACTTCACGTTCATTTTCATTTGGTATGTCGGGGATAACATTTGCAACATACTTTATCGGGTACGGAACTTTTCAACCACGTTTCACTAGTAAAAACTAGATCTGCATTGTTTTGATTTTTAACATGTTCTAATTCGTCCATTTTGCGGACCAGTGACATCACATTAGTTAGTAAAAGATTAGGAACAAATTCCCGACTACAACCAACTTGAAGGGATTTTGAAGAGTTTTTTTGAACACTATCAGGTTTAATTTTAATGCATAATTTTATAACAAACGTACTTGCAGGGAGGTGAGTCCGGGATTGGACGCACCGAGGGTGGCTGGAAGTTTTCCGAACTTACCGAGCGAAGCGAGGTGAGTTCGGGAAACTTCCAGCCACCCGAGGTGCGTCCAATCCCGGACTCACCGAACCTGCAAGTACGTTTGGTTTTTATCCCATACACCGAGCCATACACACATTTGTAGCTCTTCGCGATATATTCGTCGATGTTTTGTGAACATTTTCCCGGCCAAAAAAATCACTGGGCAAGAAAATACTTCTTTATCTACGTCTACATTACCTTTACTGCATTTTTCTTTGGTTTTTCTTCAGTCTCAGTATGTTAGTCACCGAAAAAAGTTCTTTAAAGTTTAGGTTTATCGGCTAAATCTTGTCCGCCATATTTGTTATTGTTATTGCAACGTAAGCAGTTTAGCGGGTGAGTTCGGGCGAAAAGCAGGTGAGCTCGACGACAAGCTCACCTGCTCTAAACCAATCAGAAAGCCGCTTTTAACACAGGTATGGGATAAGTTAACAAGCTTGCTACAAGCCTGTTGCGAAAAGTCTTTTTGACAAGTTGATGGAACGGAATTATTTCAACTTGTTAACAAGCTGGCTACAAGCCTGTTGCGAAAAGTCTTTTTGACAAGTTGATGGAACGGAATTATTTCAACTTGTTAACAAGCTTGCTACAAGCCTGTTGCGAAAAGTCTTGTTGACAAGTTGATGGAACGGAATTTTCTGAACTTGTTAACAAGCTTGCTACAAGCCTGTTGCGAAAAGTCTTGTTGACAAGTTGATGGAACGGATTAGTCACAATTTGTTAACAAGCTTGCTACAAGCCTGTTGCGAAAAGTCTTGTTGACAAGTTGATGGAACGGATTAGTCGCAATTTGTTAACAAGGTTGCTACAAGCCTGTTGCGAAAAGTCTTTTTGACAAGTTGATGGAACGGAATTTTCTCAACTTGATAACAAGCTTGCTACAAGCCTGTTGCGAAAAGTCTTTTTGACAAGTTGATGGAACGGA